AATAGTCCGCGGGACACCGAAGGTCGTCCCCGAAACCATGAGGCATGGTTCCGGGGACACGCCGCGGGTCCACGGTGCCCCTCCGGACAACAGTCCGTGGGACACCGCTTCCCCGCCCTCCTCGGCCGGTTTCCCGGCTTGGCCACTCCTTGGCCATGTGGGCTCTTAGTCGGCGGGCCCTCCGGAGACATCCGGATTGCCCGCCTTAAGCCCCCTCACCACGTCAAGGTGGCCCACGCGAGGGGGACCGTGGCTCTAGGCTGGATCCAGGACCATCCGTCGCGATGGCACACTTTCGTGGCGAACCGCGTGGCCGAAATCCAGACCACGGTCGCGAGCGCCGGGTGGCATCACGTTCCGGGACGCGAAAATCCGGCTGATTGTGCCTCCCGGGGGCTCTCTCCGGGAGACCTTATAAACTTTCAATTGTGGTGGCGTGGTCCGCCGTGGTTGGAGTACGATGTTTCAGAGTGGCCTACTGCCGCTGGTTCCAACCCGCGGGTCGACCTGCCCGAGGAGAGGATCCGCGTTCACGCCACGGAGTCCGTCGCTGCTGCACCGGAAGAGGCTGAGGAGCTGCTGAGATTCTCATCCCTCCACCGACTGCTTCGCGTTACCGCCTGGTGCCGTCGTTGGGTGTTGCGCGGAGGATCTGGGGTCGGTCCCGTACATCCGGCATTGCCGCTGCCTCTCGAGGGGGTCTTGTCGGTTGGCGAACTGGAAGCGGCCCGTTTGGTCTGGGTCCGGGCCGCGCAGATGTCTCATTACTCCGCCGAGATGAGAGCAGTCGAGTTGAGCCGGGCGTTGTCCAAGTCAAGTAAGCTTATTCGGCTGAGTCCGTTCCTAGACGCGCAGGGCATACTCCGTGTCGGCGGGCGGCTGGGGCACGCGGTGCTGTCATACGACGAGCGGCATCCGGTCATCTTGCCCGACGACTCTCACTTCACTCACCTAATCGTGGCCACTTGCCATCGGCGAGCTCTCCACGGCGGAGTGCAGTTGACGTTGAGTCTCGTCCGCCAACAATATTGGATTCCGCGCGGTCGCTCGGTCATGAAAAGGGTTATCCGGCGGTGCGTAACCTGCGTAAGGTGGCGAGCAGCCAGCCCTCAGCAGCGAATGGCTGATCTTCCGCGAGAAAGAGTTGCGCGAGCGCGAGCGTTCCTTCAGACCGGCGTCGATTACGCCGGACCTATCCAGCTGCGAGCCGGCAAGGGTCGAGGCCAGCGGGCCTTTAAAGCTTTCGTGGCAGTCTTTATCTGTCTCTCCACTCGAGCCGTTCATTTGGAAGTCGTGTCCGACTACTCCGCGGGCGCGTTCCTCGCGGCTTTACGGCGCTTCATCTCCCGCCGCGGTATTTGTTGCACCCTTTTCAGCGACTGCGGTACGAATTTTGTCGGCGCTGACGCGCAGCTCCGGGCAATGTTCTCCGCCAGCAGCCCGGTATTGCAGCAGATCAAGGCGCGGACCGCTACCGAGGGCATATCGTGGCGTTTCAACCCGCCGTCGCCGTCGGCGCCGCACTTCGGCGGCATTTGGGAAGCGGCCGTTAGGTCCCTCAAATATCACCTGAGACGAGTACTGGGCGACCACAAGCTCACCTTCGAGGAAATGAGCACCCTACTCGCTCAGGTTGAGGCGTGTCTAAACTCTCGACCGCTCCAGGCCTTATCGGACGACCCTGACGACCTAACTGCCCTAACGCCGGGTCATTTTCTGGTGGGTTCAGCCCTGACGGCCATCCCAGAGCCGTCGCTTCGGGATCCGCCGATGAACCGCCTTACACGCTGGCAGCTCTTACAGCACATGCGCGACCATTTCTGGGAACGATGGGCGAAGGAGTACCTGCACTCTCTGCTACATCGACCCAAATGGCATACCAGGAAGGAGGATCTACGGGTCGGACAATTATGTCTCGTAAGGGGAGACAACACTCCCCCCACTCGGTGACCGCTAGCTCGCATAATCAAACTGCATCCGGGTAAGGATGGTTTGACCCGCGTCGTCACCGTGCGTACGGCGACTTCCGAGCTCGTGCGGTCCTACGTTAAAATTATACTGTTGCCCGCCTGCGACGAGTAAAATCGCATTGCGTTGCGTATCCCCGCGATCTCGCTAGCAAACCGCCTTCTTCGCCCGGCTTTAAGCCCTATCGCTAAGGAGCGCGTTCATAGCGTTATTTCGCCGATTACCTCCGGCGAGGCGGGCGGGATGTTCGAGATCGCCTCGAACTAAATTCTTAGATTATATTATATAAATATTATACACCGTCGCCGAGCAAACGAGAATCGCGATGTTTATCCGATCGGCTGACGGCTCTATTGTCCGTACACCTTGAGAGCGTCTTAGTCAAATATTCGCTTCGCTTCTCTCTTGCTGTCGTCTACCTAAGTGAGACAGAAGCATTCGAGGAATAGCGAGTCAGTTTCTGCGAAAACAGCTGATTGCCCGCTAACGCGGTGCGAACGCCGACTGTTTGTCTCTCGAGGTGTCCGGACGATCGGTTTCATTTGAAATTGTTGGTACTGCTTTATTTTGTCGACTCTCAAGTTCGAGAGATCCGGGAAGAGAGGGACGGTATAAAATCCCGGCCCGGCGAGCCCGCCGCTCTCTCGTTCTTGTGAGTCGCGATTAGAATCTTTACTCCGGGTGATAAGCGCTTGCGAGTATTGAGTTACGATTGCAAGAGAAAATTGTCGAACGGTGTCTGTCGCGTCGCGCGGGATAGCGTCATTCGTCGCTCCCTACGCGCTCTTCGCCTTTCGCTCGCGTCGCGGCCTTTTTTTAGACTTCTCCCGCGAACCGCGCGCGCGGTACTTCCGCGTATTTCATACGCGATACGCCGAACTGGGCGTAAACGGCATCGCTCACCTTTAAATCGTCGCTTGTATCCTCGCCTTGTAAAGGGCAAGCACAATTAAAAGTTCGATAATCAATTGAATTTGAGAGTTAAGTATTGCTCGCTCCCTCCATCCCCTGCAATCCCACACACATTAAGTTAAAAAATATCATAAACGTCAACTATTCACGTAAACTAAATTTTACTTTATTATAGTCACAAAGAGAGATATTTATTTTCAAGAGCAGCTATTAAAAATGATGATAAAAGTATATGAAAATCAAGAGAAAATGAATGTCGAATCAGAGGAAATCTTTGCGGTAATATTATAA